TGAGGCCCAGTATGCTCTCATCTGCTCGCTAGTGGACGCGGTCGAGATGACATCGACAAACGTAGCCACCGTTTTCGATGCAATATTTAGTGACCTGACATCATGGCGTAAGAATATAGCATTCAAACCCAAACGCCGACGTAACATCGGTTACGGACAATGATCTTGAGTGGCTTACTAATCTTACGGGAATTGCTGCAATTAACAAGCAACAAACGATATGTGGCGCACACCACTGCTATACACAATACAATATCGATTATCCAACATTAGTCAGACAACTGCTGACCAGTGACTAATGTTGCTTAATCTATATTGCATTGTGTATATATCAATGACACGGTCAAGTCATCAATGCAACAGGTCTACTGAAATTGCAAAAATTACATAATTTTTTTTAGGTTTATCGCTAATATTGTATTATATATTATATAGTATTATATATTATTGTAGCAAAAATGGATTTAAAAACATGTTAATATGTGTATGTTCATGATTATGTCAGTGTTACGAATGTCGATGCTGACATATATGTATATATATATATACGATGGAATTAAATTGGCTTTATTTTGGTTCGTTCCTACGTTACTTGCTAGTAAGAACGAGCGAAAATGAAGGCAATTTGATTCCATCGTTTATATATTACACCATCGCCATTCCTGAGATTAATTAATGCTTTATAATCGACATGTGTGGGCAGAGGCAGAAAAATTCACGTCAAGAACATAATATAAAAGCAATAATTTATTTTTTAAACGTAAAATATTATATATATATATATATATATAGACCGCCACGCGCGCTAAAATAGAACGTGCATTTACCATTTTTTAGTTAATTAATTTAAGCAAGTTAATAACATTTTTTGATAGATGTGCCATGCAATACAAAATACTAAATTTGTAATCCGTTATAAGTACATTGGCCTATTATATTAGTAGATACGACATGTTATTATAGTACCCAGACCAAAGACAATCTGCGTTAAGCTCAGACCAATGCACGCATAGTGCGCGTCAACACCCATGACACACCGAAATCTGAGTACATGAATGACCAACAGGCTGGATGTAGCTGTTATTATAGCTCCTTGTGATCAGATAAAACCACGAAAATCACATCGCGCATATACGTGCCACTAGAGTGCACTAATTTGCATTATGAACACGAGGCTTCACGGACGTATAGAAAGCATGACAAGTGACATTGGTTTTGTTGTAATTGTGTTCCGTCAAGCGACGTAGCCATGGTGACCGGTCTGCCGTTTTTGTGTTTGAAACGGAATCCGACTATTTGCTGAAAATGCGCAGCATTAAGCTGTCAAATATTTCGAGCGGAATCTGAACCTTGAAGCTGAGGTTATTTAGCATGGATAAAGTTTATGTTGTCTATGTGTCGAAATGAGTAATTTTAATAAATTTCTGTGTAGTGTTTACTCAGGCCTGCTGTCTGTAGACGCCCTCTACTGTGGCCCAACACCTAAAATACTGACGTTTCTCGATCACAAAACGCCATTGCAGAGTAGAGCCCTACAGGATATTTGGCCCTGCCTCTGCGCTTACAGGACAAAACAGCGCTATACAACATGAAAAAATACATGCAAATTCTGTGCAAGTAAAGTGATTAACACTTTCACATCATTCAACGCTCATATACGTACACCAATATATACGTATTCACACACACGCACACACACACACACACACACACACACACACACACACACACACACACACACACACACACACACACACACACACACACACACACACGACACACACACACACACACACACACACACACACACA